TGTCATATTCCCTGTCATATTTCTTGTACGCTTCCCTGACGTTGCTTCGACTATTCAGGAGTGTGCTATTTCGAATTTGTGCCCTGGTTGATGCAGAATTTTGTTCGTCACTGGACCCTTCAGGCTAGGCTAATGTCCAGACAAATCCAGACTTCGAATCCAGACTTCCTGTGTCCTAAGTCCACAACAGTTCCATCGTCATATGTCGCACCGGAACGACATCAAAGGACGAATATGATTTATGGCACTTCTAGATCTACATCCGGGTTGATGACGAAATTCGGTACATCGCCGAGAGTATGTTTAGCAGTGACATTTTCCCCAACAGTTTTCTACCACAGTTTTCTACCAGTTTTCTACCACGCAGTTTTCTACCACTGTACAGTGGTGGAAAATCCACTGGCCAGATAATCCCGGACCATTTCTGGATATACTCCCAGGTCACCAGGCATATAGTCGGGAATGACATCTTTCCCCGATGCCAATATGTTGCTGCTACTGATGTGCTGCACAGGTCGTATTTATATCCCTTGCCTGGCTCGAAGTTACCCTGTTACACCAACGCCCTGCCACCATACGACACTCAGATAAAAATTACTGTACTCAGATCCAGCTTCATTTGCCAGGGCGGCTCAAACCATCTACGTAATGTCGGCAGTTGTCACCGAAGCTTGATTGCATGAAAGAACCGTGAATGACTTCCACGTCGTGCTGTACTGCTGCCGCGGGGAATCCTGCACTTCCAATCTTCAGCGGTTGGCGACCACACTATGGCATTTCCGGATCTATGCCGTGGATGATGCAAAACTGTGGACATCACCTCGCATATATCCGAGAATGACATTTTCCCATTCCTTCCATCCAACATCGTGCGGACACGACATCAATGTTCGTGCGCGGGTTATGGCACTTTCGAGTCCATATCCTGGTTGATGAAGAAATGTAGTCCATCACTCAGAGTAAGGAGTCGATCAATGCCATTCCCCTAGCTTAAACAGCAATGCTTTGTTGTGGCTGCATTTACGTGGATTTGCTAAATCGAGATCGACGACGGAATGTGGAGTATTTTCCTCTTCCTGCTATGGAGTACCTTGCACCAATATGGAGTATCTTGCACCAAAATTTGTTTAAAAGTTGCCCGTCCTCTTGTTTCCCGGTACATTTTCTGGACTCCATGTGAGGCCTCAGACTGGTCAGCACCCTCTTCACCCGTCCTTAACCCACCACTACAAGCAATCAAAGCGAGTACAGCAGGAATTTTTTTTTTGAGTGCGATTTCCAGTAATTACAAAAACTTGGCTCGGCTCGACTCGGCTGGTGGTTGGGTCTTCCAGCGCTGGAACTATGGCACTGGGACTTTGCCAGACGCGCTGAGTAGCGCTGCCCAGTATTGGTGGCTGGATCACGTAGCCGGAGGTTGATGGGTGGGGGATTGGAAGTGGTTGGG